TTTTGACGGGACGAGAGTCTTTGCTCTGGTGCCCAGGCTGGAGGTGCAGCAGCGCAATCTCGACTCACTGCGAGACTTCCACTTTCCGGGGTTCAAGATTCTCGTGCCTCAGCCTCCCGGGAGTTAGCTGGGATACAGGCGCGATGACGGCGCCGGCTGAAGTTTTCGTATTGCTTTTTTTTAAAAAGAAAATGCTTCTTTGAAAAGAAAGTCTTAATTACAGAGTAATTTAGGAGCTTCTCAACCTGAAGTCACAAGTTTCTAATTTCTAGACTAGGCAGCAATTAGATTGAACTCTAGCTGTTCATGAAGTAGCTGGCTGAGGTCACAAGTTTCTAATTTGTAGTCGAGGCAGAAATAAGTGTTCCAGAAACATACTCTGTTCTAATACAAACAGTGTGATTTAACCATGGAGAGTCAAGTTTCTTATAAAAATCTGATTTTATTGTATTCTTTGAAGTTCTGTGCTGTGCCCTTTGCTAGAGACACTTCTGTTCTCTCTAATGGTATTGGAAAGAGCAGTAAAACTGCCAAATAGCTTATATTTTACAATCCAATGTATCAATTCTAGTAATAACTGATAAATTGAATAATGGAAATTAGATTCATCAGAAGTGTCTTCATGATGTACAAACACCTTGAAGTAGAATAGGATCCTTTTGGGCATTAACTTTTTTTGGCATTAACTTTTAAAAAATTGACTTCCCAAGAAACAAATGTTTTTAGTCAGCTATCCCAAACATAGTATCTGCTCTAGCAATTTTAAAATGTGTACTGCATATGCATCTTATATGTATTGATATTTTATGTTAAACGTCTCCATGTTATCCTTATATTGGTGTTCTTAAAATTCTTTGTGCTTTTTTTTTTTTTTTTTTAAAAAGGAGCCTTAGTCATTTCTGCTTTATATTTTGAGCTATTAGCATTTGGGACCAATTCAGGTTACATTTTCCTTTTTCTGTCCTTTTTTAAATTGAAAATATTTTAGATCTAAAAAATTTATTAAAATGTTATAGCAATGGTATTAACAAGATCTTGCTAAATGAAAAGAACCCATATTCCTGCCACCCTAACCTAATCAGCATTTTTAAGTTTTGCATACTTCCTTCAGATTCTTTTTCTAAATGATTTTTTTATTACTTGGGTCTTTTAAAATATTTGAGCTCACCTTTTTATGGTAGGGCTCGGGGTGAATAACTTCTGTGTTTCTTTTCTAGTCTGCAAAACTTGTATCTGTTTTAAAGAAGGCACTTGAAATTACAAAGTAAGTATGAAGGCTTCTCAGATAGCTTTTTGAGAGTAAAACGGAACTCTTGTCCAGACATTCTCAACTCCCTAGCCCCCATTTCAAGGAGTGGGAAAGGGTGGGTGTGGGATTTTCTTTCAACTTCAGTTGTGGGGCAGCTGAGATTCTGCAAAGAAGCTTCCCTTTAAAAACATTTTAGTTTTCCCTGTGCTCCCTCCTGAGGGTAGGTTTTCCCTTGATGCCCTAACAAGTTTAACTTGTTTCTTTCCTATTCTATTCTCAGAGCAAGTCATGTGACCCCTCAGCCGGAAGATAGTTGGATCCCTTTACTTATTAATGCCATTGATCATTGCATGAATAGAATCAAGGAGCTCACTCAGAGTGAACTTGAATTATGACTTTTCAGGCTCATTTGTACTCTCTTCTCCCCCTCTCACCATCATGGTCAGGCTCTGATGTCTGCTTTTAAAATGGAGCTAGAATGCTTGCTGGATTGAAAGTGAGTGCCTGTCTATATTTAGCAAGGGACACTATTACCAAAGATTGTTGGTTAGGCCAGGTTGGCACCTATTTATAAACCATATGCATATAATATATTTTTCTGTGCTATATATGAAAAATAATTGCATGATTTCTCATTCTTGAGTCATTTCTCAGAGATTCCTAGGAAAGCTGCCTTATTCTCTTTTTACAGTAAAGTGTGTTGTTTTCATTGTAAAGATGTTGATGGTCTCAATAAAATGCTAACTTGCCAGTGATTAAACGAGTACCCTTCAAAAGTGTCTTTTTACCAGAAATACAGTGGATTGAGACTAGAACATTGCTTTCATTTGGGTTTGTAGGTTTAAAAATCTGATTCTGTTCAGAAGTATATTTAGAACAAAACACTTTATTTATAAAAGATTACTCCAAAATTCATCTTAGTATTTCACCATGTTACATGTTATTATCAGCAAGTCCTTCTGAATATTATCCCAGATTACTCCCTGTCTCACAAATATATTGGCATTGAGCTCATTTGTTACGTTTGCCCACCTTATTGAACAGATTTATTTTCTTTATACATACTTGTGTTGTCCTCTGTTATGTGTGTCCCCAAATGTAAATACCAAATTTTTATAAATTAAAATTTTTTAGTGTATTAGAGATTTTGTGTAATTTTAAGGGCCTTTTCAGTTCATCCTTTTGCAAAACCATCACCACTTAATTGTACTTTTGCATCGGTCTAGAAGACTGCATATTGGAAAGCAGCGTAAACCTGTAATGATGTATATTCTGGTGAGCTGAATAGGGCCTTATGCATGTCCTACAGGTCTCCGGCACCTCTCATGCCCATCATCTTCCTTCTGTAGGTGTAATTCATCACATATGCCTTTCTGCCCTCTTTAGGTATACTCAGCAACAGCAGTCATTCTTTGAGTGACTAATGTATACTTGGGGTTGAAATTCTTTAAGCCAAATGAGTTTTAATTGACTGTTTTGAAGTGCCATTTTGTACTGTTAACAAGTGTCATAAAGGGAAGGAACTAGAATCAAACTGATAGAGTGCCAAGGCAACAAAATAACATAAACAAAATAACTTTGTACAACAGGAGACTAGTTCTTTTATCCTTTCATATAGAGCCTATGTTTTATATACTTTTATATTTCTCTGCTGGACCAAATTCATGTTATTAACATCAGACTTTAATTGTGGGATACTTAATGAATATAGAACTCTAATATAAAGACCAAGGGCCGGGCGCGGTGGCTCAAGCCTGTAATCCCAGCACTTTGGGAGGCCGAGACGGGTGGATCACGAGGTCAGAAGATCGAGACCATCCTGGCTAACACCGTGAAACCCCGTCTCTACTAAAAAACACAAAAAACTAGCCGGGCGAGGTGGCGGGCGCCGGTAGTCCCAGCTACTCGGGAGGCTGAGGCAGGAGAATGGCGTAAACCCAGGAGGCGGAGCTTGCAGTGAGCTGAGATCGTGCCGCTGCACTCCAGCCTGGGCGACAGAGCGAGACTCCGTCTCAAAAAAAAAATAAAAAACCTATCTGTAGCTGAATTTTTCTTTCAGGTCCTATATTGTATAACTTCGTTCAGTCATGTTTGGATCTTTAAGGATAACGATCAGGGAAAGCACTGATCAATGTAAATTTTTTTTTTTTTTTTTGAGATGGAATCTCACTCTGTCCCCTAAGCTGGAGTGCAGTGGCACAATCTCAGCTCACTGCAACCTCCGCCTCCCAGGTTCTCAAGCGATTGTCTGGCTTCAGCCTCCCGAGTAGCTGGGACTACAGATGCACACCACCATGCCCAGCTAATTTTTGTGTTTTTAGTAGAGATGGAATTTCACCATGTTGGCCAGGCTGGTCTCGAACTCCTGACCTCAGGTGATCTGCCCACGTCAGCCTCCCAAAGTGCTGGGATTACAGGTGTGAGCCACCGAGCCCAGCTTGATCAATGTAATTTTGAGATTACCTAAAAATTCCATTTTGGGATAATATCCCACTTCATCAGAAATATAAGAATGATTTAAGTGTTAGATCCTTTCCCTTACCCGTAAGTTACGAATGTATTAATGAGCAGTAAAATGGTTGTGAAAAACCTGAACCTGAACAATCTGAATGTACTTTAAAGGTAACTGAGCACCTTTTCAAAGGCTTCTTTTTGTCATTTCAGCCCAGTAGTGTCTATTGTAAGACAGCTGGTCTTCATGGCTGCCTTAGCTGAGGTAACAGAAATAAACATCTTGTCTATTGATTTCTGGGAATCTGGTTTTGTTCTTGGTCACTCTTCTGCTTATCCCGAACGACTATTCATTTGTCTGATAAAGTGATGTAGTTTGGATATTCAACCCTGCGAACCTCATGTTGAAATTTGATCACCAGTGTTGGAGGTGGGGCCTAATGGGAGGTGTTTGGATCCCTCATGGATGGATTGGTTGCATCCTTGGGGTAATGAGTGAGTTCTTGCTCTATACGTCCCTCCCCCACCCCAGAGCTGGCTGTTAAAATGAGGCTGGCACCTGGCACCTACCCCCCGCCACCCACCCCCCGCCACCCATTCTTGCCCTATGATCTCTGCTCACGTTGGCTCCCTTCACCTTCCTGCATGAGTAGAAGCATCCTGAAGCCCTCACTGTTTCTTGTACAGCCTGCAGAGCTGTGAGCCAAATACACCTCTTTTCTTTTAAACTACCCAGCCTCAGGTATTCCTTTATAGCAACACAAACACTGAGACGCAAAGTTTCTCTTCCTAGCACATGTTTGGTTTAGACTGTAGAGCAAGGGTTGGCAGGAGAGTGGTGATAGAGCTGGAAATTTAAGCTGAAAGTTCAGGGGCTACCACGGTGACATTTTTATAGTTGGTTAGGTTCTGGAACATGTTGCAGTCCATTTCCACAGTGAGCCTCTGGAGCCCCACATGTGTTGGCGTGAACTGGAACTCGGTACACATGGTGTTTTCAGGCCACACTGAACCAAATCTGAAATAAAGGAAAAGGCAGGTGCTAGTTCTGTCCCAGGTTCATTGCTCTGCTGGTCCCAGTGACTTTGATCCTTCCTTGCTTGAAGAGGTGGATCATGCAGAAATAAACATCTAAGTACCTTGCTATTAAAACGGAAGTGTTTATAAAGGAATAGAAGACAGGAACCACCCAATGCTAAGCAACTGCATGGTTGAGAAGAGATACATCCTAAGGGCTTCCAAGCTACATCTGTTGTTCCTTCTGTCATCTGTGACTTCCTTCTGGTTCAATTCCTGGTAATCATACTGGAGTTTGTTTGAAAGAATGATATGGTTTGGCTGTGTCCCCACCCAAATCTCAACTTGGATTCTATCTCCCAGAATTCCCATGAGTTGTGGAAGGGACCCAGGGGGAGGTAATTGAATCATGGGGGCTGGTCTTTCCCATGCTATTCTCGTGGTAGTGAATAAGTCTCTTGAGATCTGGTGGACTTATCAGGGGTTTCTGCTTTTGCTTTTTTCTCATTTTCTCTTGCCACCACTCTGTTAGAAGTGCCTTTTGCCTCCTGCCATGATTCTGAAGCCTCCCCAGCCATATGGAACTGTAAGTGCAATTAAACCTCTTTTTCTTCCCAGTCTCAGGTATGTCTTTATCAGCAGCATGAAAACAAACTTAATACAGTAAATTGGTATGAGTAGATTGGGGCATGGCTGAAAAGATACCTGAAAATGTGGAAGTGACTTTGGAACTGGGTAACAGGCAGAGATTGGAGCAGCTTGAAGGGCTCAGAAGAAGACGAAAATGTGGGAAAGCTTGAAACTTCCTAGAGACTTGTTGCATGGCTTTGCCCAAAATGCTGATAGCAATATGGACAATAAAATCCAGGATGAGGTGGTCTCAGATGGAGATGAGGAACTTGTTGGGAACTGGAGCAAAGGTGACTCTTGTTATGTTTTAGCAAAGAGACTGGTGGCGTTTTGCCCCTGCCCTAGAGATTTTTGGAACTTTGAACTTGAGAAAGATGATTTAGGGTATCTGGTGGAAGAAATTTCTAATCAGCAAAGCATTTAAGAGGTGAAGAGGTGACTTGGGTGCTGTTAAAGGCATTCAGTTTTATAAGGGAAGCAGAGCATAAAAGTTTGGAAAATGTGCAGCCTGACTATGCAATAGAAAAGAAAAACCCATTTTCTGGGGAAAAATTCAAGCTGGCTGCAGAAATTTGCATAAGTAGTAAGGAGCCTAATGTTAATCCTGAAGATCAAGGGGGAAATGTCTCCAGGCCATGTCAGAGAACTTCATGGCAGCCCCTCCCATCACAGGCCCAGAGGCCCAGGAGGAAAAAGTGGTTTGGTCGGCCAGGCCCTGGGTTCCTGTGCTGTATACAGCCTAAGGACTTGGTGCCCTGTGTCCCAGCCACTCCAGCTGTGACTGAAAGGGGCCAACATACAACTTGGGCTGTGGCTTCAGAGGGTGGAAGCCCCAAGCCTTGGCAGCTTCCACATGGAAGCTGTGTTGAGCCTGTGGGTACACAGAAGTCAAGAACTGAGGTTTGGGAACCTCCGTCTAGATTTCAGATTATCTGTGGAAATTGCTGGAGGCCCAGGCAAAAGTTTGCTGCAAGGGTGGGGCCCTCATGGAGAATCTCTGCTAGGGTAGTGCGGAAGAGAAATGTGGGGTCAGAGCCCCCACACAGAGTCCCTACTGGGGCACTGCCAAGTTGAGCTGTGAGAAGAGGACCACCGTCCTCCAGACCCCAGAATGGTAGATCCACTGACAACTTGCACTGTGTGCCTGGAAAAACCACAGACACTCAACGCCAGCCCATGAGAGCAACTGGGAGGGATGCTGTGCCCTGCAAAGCCACAGGGGCAGAGCTGCCCAAGACCATGGGAACCCACCTCTTGCATCAGTGTGACCTGGATAGGAGACCTGGGGTCAAAGGAGATCATTTTGGAGCCTTAAAATTTGACTGCCCTGCTGTATTTTGGACTTGCATGGGTCGTGTAACTCCTTTGTTTTGGTCAATTCCTCCATTTGGAATGGCTGTATTTACCCAATACCTGTACCCCCATTGTATCTAGGAAGTAACTAGCTTGCTTTTGATTTTCCAGGCTCATAGGCAGAAGGGACTTGCCTTGTCTCAAGTGAGACTTTGGATTGTGGACTTTTGGATTAATGCTGAAATGAGTTAAGACTTTGGGGAACTGTTGGGAAGGCATGATTGGTTTTGAAATGTGAGGACATGAGATTTGGAGGGGCCAGGGGTGGAATGATATGATTTTGCTGTGTCCCCACCCAAATCTCAACTTGAGTTCTATCACCCATTCCTCAGAGGAGGGACCCAGGGGAAGGTAATTGAATTACAGGGGCTGTTCTTTCCCATGTTATTCTCGTGATAGTGAGTAAGTCTCATGAGAGCCGATAGGTTTCTCATGGGTTTCCTGTTTTGCTTCTTCGTCATTTTCTCTTGCCACCACCCTGTTAGAAGTGCCTTTTGCCTCCCGCCATGATTCTGAGGCCTCCCCAGCCATTTGGAACTGTAAGTCCAATTAAACCTCATTTTCTTCCCAGTCTCGGGTATGTCTTTATTAGCAGCGTGAAAACAAACTAATACAAAGAGCTATAGCTTTGGAACCCTTGCTTATTGTTAAGCACAGTGGGTGTAGCAGGCTTATGGAGAGGGTGTCAGTATGTCAGCAGGTGGTGTTTGGAGCCTTGTCAGCAACCTCCTGACCTGCCTATAAACCTTCTTTTGGTGACAGACTTCCTTTGGGGAGCTTTGCCCCACAACCGATTTGGGAGATCACAAAAGTCTGGTTAAATGTTGACAGTCCCTCCTCTCGATTTCTTGGCAAGAATGACTCATTAAGTTTCATGAGGCTGAGGCAGTGGCTCAGTAACCCAAACACGTGCTAGGGACCTCAGCGATGGTAGGAGTAGGTATCTTGAACTTTATACTGTCTATTCAACTAAGGATGCAGTAGACATAATGAAAGAAGATATTTGCAACATCTAAAACCAACAAGGGACTAATACCTGGACTCTACAGGAAACTTCTACAAATCAATAAGAAGGAAGTGCAGAAACACCAAAGGAAAAGTGGGCAAAATAAAGACAAACTACTTACCGAGGAGAAGACATAAAAGGCTAACAAACATATGAAGAGTTGCAATTAAAATAATAGTAAGATATTACTTCATTTTTATTAGACTGAAAGAAAATGTTAATAGCTGGGTATTGCCAGGAATGAAGGAGAGGTAGGAATATAGAAACTCTCATGTACTGCTGGAGGGAGTGGAGACTCCTGCAGCCATTCTGCAAATCTGACAGTACCTGGTCAAACCACATCATATCCTGTGACCCAGCAATTCTATTCCTGGGTATATATATCCCCAGACTCCACCAAATTTTCAAATAAGTATATAAGGAGACTTGTGTGAGGATGTTCACTGCAACATTATTTGCAGTGTCAGAGAGTTGGAGGCACTCTGGGTGCCCATCTCTGTGGAGTGGAGTGGTAGAAAGTGGTGGGTGTACCTGATGAAGTATTTTGTAGCAGAAGACGTATGGGCATAAATCTTAAGAACATAGTTCCGAGTGAAAAGAAAAGCAAATATAAATTTATATATAAAGTTAAAAATACAGGCTCATGAAAGCAACAGTACACATTTTACATGTACGAATTAAAGGATATGAAGGGTGGTGGTGAAAATGGGAATAAAAGGGAATAAATTAAACAAAATTGTGTATTGTGGTGGTGACTACCAGAACGTAGCCCTCTGGCCACAATGAGAGATAGCCTGGCCTCCCTTCATTACTCTCCAATACCTAGCCCTAATGCCCTCGCCTACATTCACAGCAACACCCAGGCTCTCCCTGCAGGATCAGGGCAGCAGCCAGGGCAGGTGGGTGCCCAGGGGGCCCACACAGCCTGCCTCACTCCCATCCTCTTGCAGATATGGTGGTCCCAAGATGAGGGAAGCCACTTGGTAGCCCTAATCCTTTAGTTCAGTTTCTGGGGGTATCTGCTGTCTGCATGGACATGGCAAAGAGAGAGTCTCTCTGTTGGGCCCCACCTTTCTGACCCATTGAGACATTTCAGGAGGATTAGAAGCCTGTCTTTGCTTACCTGTACCTCCTCTCTCTGTGAATGAGCCCCCTTCCCAGGATGGAGATCACACAGTCCTCCATGGGGGCATCTAGGGAGTTCTGGATGCTGACTGAGGCTGTGAGGGGTTGATACTGCTCTGCTTTCTCTGGCATCTGTGGGAAGAGGCAATACCTGGTGTGGATGCCAAGGGCACAGCCGCAGTCACTCTCTCCTCCCATGCACCCCAGTACCCTCCTCAGTAAGTTTCCTCATCTCTGCCGAGCTGACCGAAGCTTCACAGCTGACATTTTCTGCCGCTCTACCTGCTCCTCCTGCGTTTATTCCCACCCTTGGTCCATCACTGATGATTTCTGACGTTGCCTCTCCTCTAGGCAGACCCCTTGGAGGGTTTTCCACCGTCTTCAGAATTCAGTTTACATTGTATTCAACATTCTTCACGGTGTGCCCCCAACCCCCCTCTCCCACCTCACCTGTTCTTCCCATGACTAAGTGACATCCCAGCCCCGTCAGGGACTGTCCCATCCCCAGCACACCCCTCAGGCTACCTTCCATTGCACCTCTTTGTTGTCTTCTTCTGTCTTCAGTGGCCTTCCCCTACCTCTGTACTGAAAGGGTACCCATTTTTCAAGGCCCAGCATAGATGTCATCTCTTTCATAATGTCATCCCTTTCATAATGTCATCCCCGAACCCATCAGCTGGAATTAATCCCCTTTGCTTCACTTATTCCATAGCAACTTTGTGCGTCTATTAAAGCACTTACCTGGAAGACCAAATGTTCTGTCTCCCTAACTAAACTATAACCTGCTAGAGGGCAGGGATCAGATCTCATTCATTTTGGCCAGGGTAGACACATGGAAAGAGGGCTGGACCAAGAGCCATAAGCCTCTAGAACGTCCTATTTTTATAATCTTGGGCATGTTGCTCTCTACGGCTCAGTTTTTTTCATCTGAATAATGGGAACAGTTCTACCTCACAGGGGAAAGAAAGAAAGAAAAGAGAAGAAAAGAAAAGAAGAGAGAGAGCGAGAAAGAAAGAAAGAAAAAGAAAGAAAGAAAGAAAGAAAGAAAGAAAGAAAGGAAAAAGAAAGAAAGAAAGAAAGAAAAAAAGGAAGGAAGGAAGGAAGGGAAAGAAAGAAAGGAAAAGAGGAAGAGGAGAGAGAGAGAGAGGAGGTGAAAACCCTCTGGCATGTGTATGGAGTGCTAAAGAAACATAGGTTATTATGATCCCTGTAGGTAGGAGGCAGCAACTGGGAAGGCCCCAATTTTAGAAACCTTTACTTAACTAACTAAAGAAGTTGGAAGATTTACACCTTAATAGGGTATGTAAGAAACTATGTCTTTCAAGGGAAGGAGCTCTTAAATGTAGCATTTTCTGGTAATCCTGCAGCACAGTCATCTGCTCTGAAGGGGCTTGGATTCCTTCTGAAATGGGGACCTGAGTGGTGGCAGATGAGGGCAACTCAGGGGAGGACTGGTGCCTACCTTGATGGCAAGATGCGGTCTACAAATGGCAATGTCTTCCTGAGCAAAGCAGCTAAGGCTGGACTGAGAGTGTGTTGCCATGGCGGTGAGTCTAAGGAAGGTGTTCTCGGGTGGGTTTCGCTCAAAATTGGAGAAGAACAGGCCAATGGTTATTGTCTGTTCTGAAACACATGACAGGGGGAGTCAGTGCCAACATGTGTGTGTACCCCAGAAGCAGCCATAGTTACACACACAATGCAAAGGACTCAGGGCCTCACTGAGACCAGAAAGATGCCCCATTTTCCCCAACAATTGTACGCTTGGAACTCACTCAAGACCTCACTCCTCACCCTCATCCCCATCACCACCCTCAACAACGCTCTTGGCAGACCACCTCAGTGGGGTTGGGGAAGGGTCCCCGTGAAGTGAAACAAGTTAAACTCTTTGAGCCTCAGTGTCCTTGTCTAATAATGCCTTCCTAGTGGGATGGTTTGTGTTGTTTGTAGGGTTTTTGTTTTGTTTTGTGTTAGAGACAGGGTCTTGCTCTGTCACCCTACAGAAGAAATATCGACTCCTACTGTCACCACTGCTCAGGGGATGAGGTATCCCCCCCGCCCAAGTGAATCCTCTGCTTTCTAAATCTGTGCCCCCTCCTGACCCCATCACACTAGCTGTGTAACCTGAGTAAATTATCGAGCCTCTCTGTGTCTCATCTCATCTGTGAAGTGGGGATAGCGATGGTTCTTGCCTCAGAACGTTGTGGTGAGGCCTAACAAGATGATGCACATAAAGCACTTAACATCATTTTGGTCAAACAGTAAGTGCCTGATAAATGTGAGCTACAGTGATTCTAGTTGTCTCATATCCCCAGGCAGAGCGTTATCAATTTTAACCCGTCTCTCCTGAGGCTCATTCTTTCCCTCTTGCCTGCATATTTTCCTCAGCATAGAAGTGGGTTCAGCTCTCTCCCTCTGTCCAGTGTCCCTGGCTGACCACTCCACAGCCTCTCCTTTTTCTGTCCTGCCTCCAAGGAGGACGAGACGGTTTGTCTCACTTTCCCAACTCAATCGGCTTAACGCCCAGGAAACTTCTCTGCAAGCCCACTCTCTTAATAGTGCTCTTCAGCCTTGACACCTCGTGCCCTTTCTGCTGATCTTGCTGGGTGCCTCCTTTCTCTCTTTGACTGTTTGGCCTCCCTTACCCTGCTCTTCCCCTGACCGCCCCCTACATGCTGCTGCTGCTGCCGGGTTCCCTCCTCACCTTCTCATCTCACTGTCCTCTTCCCCACTGCTGTGAGCTCATCTATTCCCTGACTCTTTGTTGGCCCCCCTGTGCTGGGATTTCCACATCTGAGCTCCAGCCCAGAACTTTATCTTACCAAGGTTTCCTGCTGCCCACTGGTCAGCTGCACGTGCATGTGTCACGGGCTTTCAGACACAATGTGCCACAACCAAATTCATCCTTTTTCTCCCCAAACCTGCTCTTCCCCATTTTTCCTATTCTAGTGACTCACCCAAACCAGAAGCACCCACCACACACATATATACACTCACACATTCACAGGCCCCATCTATCCCAACTTCGTAATACATTTTAACTCTAAGTGCTGCTAGCTTAGTTTCGCCTTCATTTCTTGACTTGATGATTACAAAACCTTCTCATCTTCAATCCCGTGCTTCTCAAGACTCTGGATGCACATTAGAATCAAGTGGGGAGCTTTACAAAACAACCCCGATGCCAGGCCCACCCCAATCAGTTACATCAGACTCTGGCGGTGAGGCCAAGACATCAGCAGTTCTGAAAGTTTCCAGATGATCAGAGACTCTGAGCCTACTCTGGCTCAGAAGGGTGCCCCCTCCCCCGCCCACAAAATAAGTTCCCCAGATGACACAATGTGCAGCTAAGGTTAAGAAGCACTTTTCTTATATGACCCTTTCCATTCCATTCTGCCAAAAGTTCTTTCTTGTTAAAATGAATTTCTGATTCCATTGACTACCCTGGTTGAAACCTTCCACCAGTTTTCCATTACCCAGAGAACAAAACTCAAAGTCCTTAGCAAGAGAGACAAGACGCTGTGTCACCTGGGCCCTGTCCAGCTCTCACACCACTCCCCCGACTCCTCTCCTCCCATGCTTGGAAAGGGAAGAGTGATACAGAGACTGGAGGTGAGGTGACTGGTTACAAGGCTGTTGCAATGCTGTAGACAAGCTCTCGTCAACTGATTCTCACACTTGTCTGCACATTGGAGTTACTCGAGTTTTTAAAAATTCTGATGTGTTCCACCATGGAGTTTCTTTCTTTTTTTTTTTTTTTTCCTTTTTGAGATGGAGTGTCACTGTGTCACCCAGGCTGGAGTGTAGTGGCACGATCTTGGCTCACTGCAACCTCTGTCTCCTGGGTTCAAGCGATTCTCCTGCCTCAGTCTCCCCAGTAGCTGGGATTACAGGCGTGTGACACCAAGCCTGGCTAATTTTTGTATTTTTAGTAGAGTTGGGGTTTCACCATGTTGCCCAGGCTGGTCTTGAACTCCTGACCTCAGGTGATCCACCCGCCTTGGCCTCCCAAAGTGCTGGGATTACAGGCATGAGCCACTGCATCCAGCCCACCATGGAATTTGTGATTTAATTGGCCTGAGATAAGGCTGAGCGTCAAACTTCCCCAGGTGATTCTAATGTGCAGCAAAATTTAAAAGCAATTGTTCTAGTTCAGGGAATCTTAACTGTAGAATAACACAGGGTGTTTAAAACAAAAAACAAGAAAAAAACAATGCCTGGACCCCATCTCAGACCAAGTAAATAAGAACCTCAGAGATGAGCAGGGCCCTTTGCATATGTTACTCCTTCCGTCTGGAATGCTGTGACTTACTTTTCTGGCCATTACTCTCCTACTCATCCTTCCAGATTCAATGCAGTACAATTTATTTGGGGGCAGCTTACTCCAGCCTGAGGGGAGGTGCTCTCCTGCCATTCCACTCTGTTAAACTCAGCAAACACCTCTCACATTGCTGTGAAGGGTCTGTTTACTTATCTGACTGCAGTTGGCATCATGCTTTTTTCCTGCTTCGGGCCCAGTAAATATATGTTGAATGAGTGAATGAGAGAGAACACGAGAGTGAGCAGCAGGGGCCCAAAGCCATCTCTAGAGACTGCAGGGGGTGCCCTGTGGCTACTACCTGCCCAAGGCAGGTGCTGTGTGTGTGGGAGGGTGTCTGGTGGGGCCATAGAGCGTTACCCAGGTTGGCACTGAGCGTGAGGTGCAGCTTCTTCCTCCAGAGTTCGGCAGCAAGGACACCGTTGTAGTGCACAGCCTGGACCCCGATTGCCAGCAGCACTGCTGTCTCCTGCTCACTGTGGTTAACCAGCGTCACTGAGATCTGGGTATCCCCTCTCAGGGGTAGGGAGCTGGGTGCTTTCAAGAGCAGGTACAGAGGATTGGCAGTCTGGAGAGTGGGAGGACGGATGCCGTTGTCTTTCCCATGTTCCATTTTCTCTTTCTCAACTCTCTCCAGCACCTCTTTTTCCTGAAGAGACCCTGGAGAAGGGAAGAAACAAAGCTGACCTTTTACCCGGGTGGTATACATGCTTCTCATAAAACCCTGGGAATCAAAACCATTTACCCACTTCTGCTCAAATGCCAAAGTCATGAGAGCTCTGCAAGCCTCTAAGGCCGTATTTAGCCCAAAAATGTCTGTGTCAGGCAGATCCACCACCGATACAGTGTGTCTCTTCCAAACCACTCAAGGACCAAGTTCTTTTTCAAGTGCTATGAATTCGCCCCTTGAACGATGAGAGAGGAAGGTTGGGGACAAGTCAACACTGTCTCTGAGGACAGTTTTGCAGGGAACTGAATCTTCCTGTGTGAAAGAATTTAGACTTCCTCTGAGGGTCAGGAATGCCGCCAAATGTCCTAGGGTGCACAGTCCCTACAACAAAGACATATCTGGACCCAAATGTCAATGGTGTCAAATGGGGTTGAGAAACCCTGTTTTATATGATGGGGAAAGGACAAGGCTCTTCCTGACTGCATCTACCAGGCCCATCCCTTTCCCTTGCTTGCTATTTCAGGTACCGAGAAGCCTGGGCCCTTCCCTGGCCCATACCTTCAGGATACTTGTAGTTCTGAGTGATGTCCTCACAGCGGTCACTGCCCACACCCTTGGTGCTGATGTTGTTGCCAACGTACTTTGTGTTGGAGTCAGTCAACTCCAGTTTCCCATCCTCACAGCACTTCCAGACCACACATGAGGCATTTATGGCAGCAAAAAGGTCTGACACTGCTGGGGTCAGCCTCAGTGTCCCCTCCTTGACTGCTCTGACCGGCACGAGATCACAGAACCCCAGGACTGAGGGAGAAAAAGGTTGGTGAGTATGGGAGCCGTGCCTAGACCTCTGCTCAGTTCAGAACTGCATCACCTCAGTCCCCATCCTCTAGCCTATTTTCCTTCCCCAAGGACCAGCGTCAGAGGTGAGCACTAGGCAGGGTTTCTGAGAGAGTCACAGAGGTGAAACTATTTAGTCATCAACTATTTAGTGATAAAACTTTTTGGTCATGGCCCCTGGCAGGAGCCCTCTCAGGAACTAGACAGGCAGAAGCTCAGAGGGCCACACTTAGAGTGAGGAGCTCTCAAGCCAGCTTTACCATGGATATGACAGGAATAGGGCCACCTTTCTTGAGCACTTACTAGGTGCCAGGCTCTGTGCCATTTCTGTTCCTGGGTGAGGAAGAGCTATCTTTCTGTGGGTCCTGACGCTTCCTGGGCTTGAGCCTATCCGGATACCCTCTTCATCCACGTCCAGAACTTCAGAACCCCCTGCTGCAAGCCCCTGGCCTAGCACAGTCACTTGCCATCTTAAGATCCTCTGCCCTTCACTGTGACCCAACTCCCTCACCCGCGGCTCTAAAGTGCCTCGTCTCCCTACAGCCTTGTAGCCAGGATGGCAGGCGCCTCTACTCCCATGAGCCCACTGGCATCAGGTCAGCTTTCTGCTGGCTGCTGTCATGCCTTGTGCTTCTACTGTTTTCGAGGATGCAGACCCCTTTGGGACTGCCTGCTGCTCCCGAGTCCTCTCCGGGGGATTTCTTCAGCTCTGTGCAGCCCTGCGTGGTCCTGGACCCACCCCTAGGCTTTACCTCTACCTCCATTAGGAGCACTTGAGTGCAGAATCTGCCATCCATCATAACCCTGGGGCAAGGCAGGCCGTGTCATCCAGCACTCTGTGGAAGTCTGGAAGATCCTGAATGTAGCAAAGAGAAAAATTCAAGTGGGAAGGAAAAGGAGTGCTGAAGAGGTTCTGGAAACGCAGCCTGGCAGAGTTGTTGTTGTTCCAGTGGGATGGGAGGTCACTGTGTCAAAGTGGCTGTGGCACTCCCAGGAAGGGGCGTGCACACCACCACTGACCATCAGCGCAGCCTCTAAGAGTCCTTGAGAGCCTACTCTCCATGCCAGGGCCACGCAGGGGGTGGGGTTCCTGCAGAGGTGTGCCATGCAGGATTGGAGCCCTTCCTGGACTGGAACCTCATCTCCCTCAGGTTTCTCACCAGATTCTGCCTCTCTGGCCTTCTCCGTTCTGAAGTCCCTCCTCATTATAGTACTCATCTACGAGCAGACGCCCGCCGGTGCCCTGTGCTGAGGCAAACGTGGTCACCACACGGGCAGGGATTCCCAGGCATCGCAGCACTGTGAGAAGAGGGGTGGAGTGTCAGGGGGCGCTCTAGAGACCGGGCTGGGGAAGTGTGGGAGGCTAGGATTTTCAGTGTCTCCTCTGGGCACTGAAAACCTGGAAAGAAGAGTGTGGAACCTAGAAGTGGCAGCCAAGAACAGATGCATGAAGGCTGATCAGTAAGGCACAGCTTCCACCACACGCGGGGTATATAGCAGGGGAGAGGGCAATGGAGCATAGAACACAGTGGGTGGAGCTGCTCTGCTGGGGCAGGGTTAGGGAATTAAGTGAATTTGGGAACGGAGTTTGCAAATGAGCCCAAATTTCTTTTTTTTTTTTTTGAGACGGAGTCTCGCTCTGTCGCCCAGGCTGGAGTGCAGTGGCCGGATCTCAGCTCACTGCAAGCTCCGCCTCCCGGGTTCACGCCATTCTCCTGCCTCAGCCTCCCGAGTAGCTGGGACTACAGGCGCCCGCCACCTCGCCCGGCTAGTTTTTTGCATTTTTTAATAGAGACGGGTATTCACCGTGTTAGCCAGGATGGTCTCGATCTCCTGACCTCGTGATCCGCCCGTCTCGGCCTCCCAAAGTGCTGGGATTACAGGCTTGAGCCACCGCGCCCGGCCCCAAATTTCTTGAGGGGAAAAGCAGCAGAAGCTGGTGGGAGGAGCTGCCTGGGGCAACTACTTCTGTGTGGTAGGACGGGGAAACGTGGCCACAGGGAGGCAGCACCTGCTTTTGGAGATGTCCCTCCCACATGGGAGGCCAGGGAACAACCCAAGAGGCAGGGCACTCTGTACAGGAGACAAGGGGACCAACCTGTGCAAGCAACAGCGGCCAACACCCAGGCCTGGCCATCATACACAGGTCGGCCTCGGCCGGTGAGCCACTGCCGCAGGATGGGCACGCTGCCCCGGCGCTTGTTCAGCAAGGCCCCTTCCTGGGTGGTCTGGGTCTGCGGGGTGGGCAGGACCCTCTTCTCCTTGAGATAATGCAGCTGTTTGGGGAAATGTGTGGATGTCAGTATGAGTCCCTCGGGCAGGACAGCTTCCAGGGCATGGGTAAGGAGGGCTCATCGCAGTACTCCAACCGTGGTGAACAGATCCCCAGCATCAGAGCCACCTGGTACTGGTTAAACCTGCATGCTCCCGGGCTCCATCCTAGGCCCCTGGGCCATAGCCCTAGGGCTGGAACCCAGGACTGCCCTTCTTAACGAGTCCTCTGGCTGGGGGCTGGTTTCACCTTTAGTCCTCCACCCTCGTTTGAGGTGGTTTGCACCTGGGTCCTGGAGGCCACTTATCCCAAGCTTCTTTCAACTCACAGTCTGGCCTGGACCCTCACCACCTTTTCAGAGGGGACTTCGGTGGCAAAGAGGGAATGGTGAACACAGGACTCCTCTGAGAGGATTTTTAGGGACAAGGGAAAGCACCAAGTTACCATCATGGTCTGCATATTCTTCTGAACAATTTAGAAATGTAAAAGAAGTCCCTTTGATCACTGCAGCAGCAAGCACTGGGTATGATGGGCCCTACCAGCTCCTTCCCGTGGACCTAAGCTCCAGGCTGGGACTGGGTGTGGGGCGGGAAAGGAGGCTTAGTCTTCTGCGGGCTTGCGTCCTGAGGGAGGACACATTTCTTTGCTTTTCTCCCCCCTGTGGATGCTATTGCCTGTCTTCTTCTCCTCCTCAGACCCTTCTGTCGGAACTGTCCCCACACCCTGGGAGGAGGGGGCCATTTGTGATTTGGGGGTTTCTGAGGCCACGGTGGTGGGGCAGTTCTCTCAGAGGGCTCTTGTCTCACCCCCGCCCTATTGTCGTTCCCCAGCCTCTCACTTACCGAGGCACCCAACACATGGGCCACGTGCACTGGCTGGCTCCACTTCTCTACCTGCTTGTCCTTGCTCAGCAAGCGCAGGCTGAGGTCGATGACATCCCCCTCGAACTGTTAAGGACCACACAGGGCCATGATGAAGGGTCCTCAGGTCAGGCACTCATCCCGCAGGACAGCCTCATGATCTCGTCCTTCTCCCAGACCCGCACTCCACACCTGCCTCCCTTGCCTCATCTCTCTGAGGAGCTCTGGCTCCCTCCCCCGACCTCTCAATGTGACCCAGGTTCCTTTTCCCAGGCATCTAGTCCTTTGCCTATTCTATTGTCTGACTCCCGGTAGGGTGTAAGCTCTCAGGGACCCGTGCTGTACCATTTCATTTTGTTGCATTGCATTCTGTTTCCATTTAGTGAACCCTGACAGCCCTGAACCTGGAGTGGAGGATACTCCCCCTGTTCCTGAGGAGCCCACGGTTTAGGACTGGAGATGGACCCACAGCGCAACCCCTTAGATTACAGAGCACAGCAGCATGGCCAGGTCTCTTGTAGAGATGCAGGCACAGAGCAGCACCGTGGAGAGGTTCCCTCTGCCTTCGGGGGTTGGGGAAGGCTTCGAGAAGGTCTTGAGAGATGGGTGGGAGCTTGCCAGGAGATAAGGGTGGGGAGCCCTTCCTGGCGGAGGGAACTTTCAGCTTGTTGGTCTGAGGATGGTGAGCAGTTGGAACGTGGGGTGGTTCATGGGGGAAGCAGAGCACGGGCCTGGCTGGAAAGGCCGTGGAGGTTGGCCTAGAGGGATTTGGTCTTTATCTCAAAGACAGTGGGGATGTAACTGAGGCTTGATTTGCCACAGCTTTAAGGAAAAGAATTCTGGTAGCTCCGGAGGGTGTTCTGATGTGGCCCAGAGGAAGGGGGGCGGGGCACCACAAGGCTGAAACGGGCTAAATAAATGGTCTCATGACCAGGGGTTTTTGGACCTACCAGCTCTGTCTAGCCTGAACATGCAAGGTTATGGGACAGTCACTCCACACACTCCTCCCCTAGAGGGCCCTAGTACCTGGCCAAAGTCCCAGGGCTCTGCCTGGATGCAGTCAGCTGTGCCCAGGTAGATGAGACCATTCTGGTTCAACAAGTACTCTGTGCGCTGAGCTTCATTCTTCAGGAACACGGCATCCTCTGGCGAGAGGTGGGTAGGGATGAGGGCCTGTGGGGTGCCAGGTCCACCCTCCACATCCAGGCCTCTGTTCTCCCTGCCGAGATTAGGCTTGGCTGCAGGCCAGCCCGTCAGCTCTGGGCCTAATGAAGACTGAGGAGGAAGTCCCTCTTCCACTGTCCCCACTGGGACCCAGCCCAGAGTCCCCGGGTCAATCAGCGTGTGGCCCTTATGGTCAGCCAGGAAGACAAGAACAACCTTAAAAAGCTTGGCTGGCCAGGTGCAGTGGCTCACACCTATAATCCCAGCCCTTTGGGAGGCCAAAGCAGGAGGACAGTTTGAGACCAGGAGTTTGAGACCAGCCTGGGCAACACAGCAAGACCCTGTCTCTACAAAAAATAAAAACAGCCAGGTGTGGTGGTGCGCATTTGTAGTCCTAGCTATTTAGGAGGCTGCGGCGGGAGGAAACTTGAGCCCAGGAGTTTGAGGTTGCAGTGAGCTATGATGGTGCCACTGCACTCCAGCCTGGGTGACAGAGTGAGAGACTTTCTCTTAAAACAAATGAAAATCAGCCAAGCGTGGTGGCTCACGCCTCTAATCCCAGCACTTTGGGAGGCTGAGGCAGGTGGATCACCTGAGGTCAGGAGTTCAAGACCAGCCTGACCAATGTGGTGAAACCCTGTCTCCATTGAAAATACAAAAAATGAGCCACGTGTCACAGTGCATGCCTGTAATCCCAGCTACTCAGGAGGCTGAGGCAGGAGAATCTCTTGAACCCGGGAGGCGGAGGTTGCAGTGAGCTGAGATCGTGCCATTGCACTCCAGCCTGGGCAACAAGAGCAAAACTCCGTCTCAAAAAAAAAAAAAAGAAAAAGAAAAAGAAAATCCTGGTTGTTCACAGCCAGAACACTATCGTCCCTGGATAAATTGGCAACAGGCCAGGGAGCTTCCAAGTGGCTTGTATGTCTTTCCCATAAGTTCAATTTGTGACGAAAAACCAGGTGTTTCAGAAAAAAGACAATTAAGCATAGGCTGATGGATGTGAGCAGAAGGAAGAGGAAGATTTGGCAAGACAGGGTTGGAGAGTGGGAAGGAGCAGCGGGGTTGAGAAGTGGAAGTCAGAACGTTGGATTTCTGCCCTGGAGGTGTCCAAGTGAGTCTAGGGCTCCCTCAGTCTCTTCCCAGTGCCCCTCCTGCTTTCCTCGTCCTAGGGTTGGGCTAGCCATCATGAGGAGGGTGGGCGACTTTTAAGGGGGCCATCACCCACTCTGGGAAGCTAGAAGCAGGAGGGCAACTGCCCTGCTTGCTGAGGGCTAATCACTCCGACCCAATGGCCAAGGTGAAGTGGACAGGGGTTAGACTAGTTCCTGGGGACTAGAGAGAAAAGGATTTCCAAACCATCCAGAGGAGCTGCTGGGCTAACGTCTCTGGAGCCCTCCAGGGGTCCATCTGGGGATGAGGGTCCTCAGGGCAACAGAAGGATAAGGCAATAGAAATCAAGAAGCCCTGAAAAATCTGGGGTCTAAAATCACAGAACCCTATGCCCAAGTAGCCCTCCACTCCTGCCTTCCATCCTGAGTACTCTCTGAAGTCAGCTAGGCATCACTGTTTTTTGTTTTTTGTGTGGTTTTTTTTTTTTTTTTTTGACATTACTTCAAACTGAGGTGTTTGGCCCCAGGATCTGCAGGGCTCTAAGAAGTAGCTTATGAGAGCACAGGCAGCGCCAGCCTCCTCCTCTCTGCTTGGGCGTATGTAGCCCCCTTTATAAAGTGCCTGGCTGATGAGCAGGGCTCCAACTTTCATCATAGGATGTAAAACGATGTAAAACTCTCCTTTTGAATCCCCATCTCCAAGCATGCCAAGATGACGCTGAGATGCCAGGGAATCTGAAAATTTCCCAGTCACCTCCCGGATGAGCGGAGCCAATGACTGTCCCCTGCCCAGACAGAGACCTCCGCCCATACTCAGGTAGAGAGGCCCTCCCTAGGCAGGTCCCTACAAACTGAGCACAAAGGCAGGACTCCTGGCACTGGAGTCAAGAGCGTGGGCACCCTGAGCCAAGCACTGTCCTAGACTGTCTTTGCCGGGTCTTTACGGTTGTTGCCAGGGCCTGGCTCTGGAAGCAGACTCAGGGTGGTCTGGGGGTACACCAAAGCCTCAGCTTTGGAGGGAAGCGGCTTGAAGGGCTTTCTGCCAGTCATGGAGAGCCACAAGGCCTGCCCCAGCCGAGGGGTCCTGCATCTACATTCATCCACGTGGGGCATCTGGATGAATACTAGCTCCCATGTGCTGACCCACCTGCCTGCGCCCTTGGAGCAGGAAAGAAGGGCCTGAGCTGAGGACAGGTGGGGCCACCTGAAGTGGGGGAGAACCCTGCCCTGGACAGGAGAAGTGGAGAGAGAACCCACTGGGATTTAGGTACCAGAGAAAAGCAGTCAGGAGCTGCGGGCCAGACATGGGGCCAGCCTTAAGAACCTGGGAAGGCTCTTCCACCTCCCCATGTTTCTGCCAGTTTCCCAGCCCTGCCTTGCCATGTTGGCAGCAAAATTCTTGAGAGGAAAAGGGCTGTGTACTTGTTTGATGTTGTAAAGACAGGAAGGCTGGGAGAAACTCTCTTTCATTCTCCCAACAAACCCTTCAGGGAGCCCAAGGATGAAGGTGGGTGAGGTAGATTTAAAAACAAAGACAGACACAATCTTCAGAGTGGGGAGGAAGAGAAGATGGGTCCTACTTTGGGTCTTATTTGGACATGTATTATGTCAGATGGCCATTTCCAGACGACATGGCTCCAGCCATAGCTAGGGCTGAGCTTTGCTACAGGCGGTCATGGTTGGGGGTGGGGGGGCCCACAGGAGGTCACCTGACCCCAGGGAAGCCACTCACAGGCTGGTGAATGGCAGGGTCCCATCAGACACTTGGGTAGGTGGGTCTGGAGAGCGCCCAGAAATCTTCAAGAACAGAACGAGCCGGAAGAGAGGAGGAAAGACAGGGAGCAGTACATTTCCTGGGAAGCAGAAGCAGAAGCCTGTGGAATAGCACAGACCGCTTGGGGCCCTGGTCAGTGGGGCAGCCTTATCAATTCAAAATGGTATATTCTTTTTCTTAAAGAGGGTCCCCCAAATTGCATCAGCTTCAGGTCCCGCAAAGCCTGAGTGCACTCTGGAGACAGAATAGCGGGGAGAGAGAGAGTGAAGCCCAGCTTCAGGCCACCTCATTCCCCAGGCACTCTCCAGTTCTCACCCCTGCACTGTTATAATGAAGGGCAGCTTTCCCAGGGTCATCTCAGTGAGTGTCAACTCCTGTGACCGAAATAGCCTGAGCCAGCACCAGGGTCTGGTGATGAGACAAGCTTTCGCTTTCAGTGGGAAGCCTCAACCTGCTTCTCCCGGGAGCGACACCAAAACAGGACCCTTGGTCTGAGAGCTGGTTCATCCAGGTAGAAGGCCCTGGCACAGACTGGGTGTTGGTGCTGTCCTTAGAGAGGGTTGCTGCAGGTACCTGGCACAGGTGCTCCCTGCCAGAGCTGCACCCTAGCTCCAGTGTCTGGAGTCCCCATGCAGCCCAGGCTGGCCCAGGTCCAAACTTACCTCTACTCCAGGGGTTAAAGAGCAATGTGAACCAGCCCAAGAGGCGTGGCTTCCTGCCTGAGACCTGCAGCAGAAGCGAGTAGCGGCCAATGACAGCGTCCGCGGGTGTGGTCACAGAGATGGTCCAGGACTGGGCATCTCTCTCCTCCACCGCTGCACTCCACGACTTTCGGTCCCCCAGACTGGACACTGGGAATGTGGCTTGAGTCCTGTTGACCTTGGAAGGCTGCTCTCCTGCAGTCACACAGTGACGAATCTGTCATTGGGACTTCTTGGTCACAACTCAGAGTAATAAGATCAGGGTATTTCAAAGATGGAGGAGGTGAAAGTTGTTTTTGGAGGATAATGAAAGTGACCCGTCTAGAAATGAGACCCATCAAGAAAGAGTGATAGGGGAGCACAGGTTTTTGGCACCCATGGACCTGCATCATAGTCTCTAAAATGGGCATCATCATAGTACCTGCTTCATGGCCCATAGGAGAACTGAACGAACTATTATGTGTGAAGTACTTGGCCCAACACCTGACAGGTAGTATGGATTCAATAAACACTGGCAATTAAATGTTATATTTAGCCTGGGTTCGATTCCATCCAGAATTTTCTTTTCTTTTTTTTTTTCTTGAGACAGAGTTTTTCTCTTGTCGCCCAGGCTGGAGTGCAGTGGCACTATCTCGGCTCATTGCAACCTCCACCTCCTGGGTACAAGTGATTCTCCTGCCTCAGCCTCCCGAATAGCTGGGATTACAGGCACCGGCCACCACGCCTGGCTAATGTTTTGTATTTTTAGTAGAAACGGGGCTTCACCATGTTGGTCAGGCTGGTCTTGAACTCCTGACCTCAGGTGATCCACCCACCTCAGTCTCCCAAAGTGCTGGGATTACAGGTGTGAACCACTGCACCCGGCCCCATCCAGAATTTTCTACAAAGCTACTATTATATTTGCAACCGAAAAGAAGCCCTTGGTGATGCTGCTGCTAGGCAGCTTCTGACTCATCATAAACAATATTTACCAGGCACATAATCTCATGGCACCCTCATGACTGCCCTGCCAGGTGGGCAGGACTTCTTACAGCCCAGCTGCAGTGTGGGCCATTTGCCCCTTGATTCCCTAACAGGTTGCTGGAGAGAAACCCCCAGACCTGCTGCCAGGAGTCTAGTCCTGTCTCACTAACCAGTTTGTGCAATGAGGGCCACCTTCTTCAGGGCAGGCAGAAATGCGTGGACTGGAGCGCGGAAGTGCAGGATGATGGTGAAGGGCTGCCCCCTCCTCACAAAGAGGCGCCGGGAGCTGAAGGCCTTGGTGTGGTGCTCCTCATTGTTTCTTGCTGCCTGAAAGTCGCAGCTCTTGATACCCAGGGCTGTTGTGGGAAAGAGAGAAGTCATGGAAACTAAGTAAATGTGACAATGTAAGTATAAGCAGAGATTCTGGAGTCAGAGAGACCAGGGTTCAAATCCTCGGCTCCACTTACGTTTTAGCTGCGCAATCCCAGGCAAGTAACTTAACCACCCTGAGCCTCAGTTTCCTTTTCCTTAGAATAATCATCCCTCCTTTCACAGTTGTGGGGATTAGATGATGTATAATACATTTAGCACAGTGTCAGCTACACAGTAAGTCCCAGTAAATGAAACTGCTGTTGTTGTTACTATTATTAATAAATGTAATGTTTATTCTCATTGTTGGCCTCCTTTTTCTGGTCCCAATCCACAAGCAATGAATAAAACCCAAAATCTTTCTCACCCCTACTCATTTTTCCTTAGAGCACAATCAGTTAATTTTTAGAGCTGGTTTTGAGATCACTGAGTCCAATTCTCTTGTTTTATAGATGAGAAGAGTGAGGCTGAGTGTGGAACTGACTCACCCGAGACTGTGCATGGTGGCTTTTTGACCTAAAGTCTTACTATAAACTCACAGCACTATGCAGCCCAGAAAAACCCTTCACATAGGTGGCTCAAGAGTATTATGACAGTCTGTTAATCAATTCTCATTTAACAGAGGTGATATGGTTTGGCTTTGTGTCGCAGCCCAAATATTAGGTCGAATTGTAATCCCCAGTGTTAGAGGAGGGGCCTGGTGGGAAGTGATTGGATCACGGGGGCAGTTTCTAGCGGTTTAGCACCATCCCCTTAGTGCTGCTTGTTTAAAAGTGTGTAGTACCTCCTCCTTCACTCTATCTCTCTCCCACTGACCATGTGAAGATGTGCTTGCTTCCCCTTCTGCCATGATTGTAAGTTTCCTGAGGCCTCCCCATGAGCAGAAGCTTATACAGCCCACAGAACCATGAGCTGGTTAAACTTATTTTCTTCACAAATTACCCCATCTCAGGTATGTCTTTATAGCGGTGTGAGAATGGACTAATACAAGAGGGAAGAAAAAAACAAGGAGTAAATAAGTCAAAAGATATGTTCAGCAAGCCCAAGATAAGGAACAATGCTGGAAAAAAAATTTTAGGTTTTTTTCTTGCAGCAAAGGAATTGTGCACTTTTTGTTCCTTTGATGGCAGAAGGCCATTGGGAATCTCCTTGGTCTGAAAGGCAGCCTGCAGTGTTTTGTACTGGCTCAGCTGCCACAAGAGAGAAACTATGGCTTTTGCTTGCAGGTATGAAATGAGGTCTAACCCACTTCAGGGAAGTGATATGACCCTGATGGCGATGTCCTTTAGACTACAAGACATATCTTGTCAAATTCAGGATACTGCTACTTCAAATTTCCCCCATTTCCCAGTCTCTCTGCCTTAGAGGTGAAGAGTAGAGGGGGAGGATGTTCTACTTTTTCTTTCACTAGTGATGGGATGATAGAAGATGCCAATGATGTCTATTTAGGGCAAAAGAACTGACATCGTTGAATATGAAGAAATGTTAAAGCGTGCAGAGGAGGGAAGAAACCTCTCTGTGTCTGGTCCTGGTGTCCCTGGGTGCCCCTTGCATCCCTGTATCCCCCTCCTCCACTTGGCTTGGTCAGGCTATGGCTATAGATAAAGTAGCCACAGGGAGGCTGGGATTTGTAAATTGAAGTACAGCAGCACTCAGAAACCAACAATGATTCCTCTTTCTGCTTAGCACAAAGCTTGTGCTGAGGCCCAGGATAAGCCCTGCCTCTGCAGACTGGTTGAGTTGGATTGGATGGTGGAATGCCTTAGTCACATCCTAAGTCATATGACTCGCGCCTCAGTGTATCTGAACCCAAGTAATGACCATAGTGTTACGGCAAGAGTCACTAGAATTCATTTGGATTCCGGTTCTGTCTGGAAGGCTCCCACCATCTCTTCTCTACCTGGCAGATGTCTACTCATCTTCCAAGATCCAAAGACACCCACCTCTGTAGCCTTCACTGACTCCTCCTGAAAGAGGTCAGTCCTCTTGGCTCCCACAGTACTCTGCTCCACTTTCTTCAGCACTTATCCCATTTGATACCCATCACCTGCCTAGCCCTCTGCTCCCGCTTTCACTGGGGGGAGCTCCCCGAGGTACAGTGCTTTCTCCTATCTGCATCCTCTGCCCCAGCAGAACTTAATAGATAGCCAATCAGTGTTTGCTCTGTCAATGAATGGATGAGAACATTAGGACAGACTTAAAGGAGATTTTCTCAGATGCATCACAGGGGCCTCAGGCCCCCACCTGTGCCGCCAGACCCTCGCAGGGCCCCTGAGGTTTCTGCATTCTTTAGGTCTGCCTGGTTTCTTGGTTTATCTCTGCCTCTGCCCCTTTTAGGTGGATTCATTGACTCCTACCTCCCCTTCTCTCCCACTGGGTCTTGAGGCAATGACACCTTCGTGTTTTCCCAGCATCTCCTATTTGTACCACAGACCATGAGAAGTTGCGTTAACACAGAGACCATGTGGAATGCTCTTCAGAGGTGCACAGTACCCCACCCTCCTCCCTCTCTGCCTTTCACAACACCCCAGCGCTGCCGCACATGTGCCCCTCAAGCAGTGATGTGTTTAACGACTGGCTGGGGGAAAGGGGTGGTGAGGGGAAAGGGCGTACTGAGTTACAGCATTTGCCAAGTTCTGTGGTGTAAAATACTCCCTCTGTGGCCAGTTTGAAGCTACTGAGGTGATGTCAGCAAGCGCAGAACTGTGAAGAGGCGCGGACTGGCACATCATCATGTGGTTTTTCCAGCACAGAGATACAGGAGACGTACAACAGTTCCATGCTCGACGAACGTATAAGGATAAAAAGTGAAGTAACATTATATAGCGTAGTGTGAGAGAGAGAAGATCTTTATGTAGTACTTACTTCATACATTACCTTTGTTTTTCTTGTTTTTGAGCACGTCTCGCTCTGTCGCCCACAAGTGGGTTTTGTACCGAGTATGTGTCATATCGAAGGCGGATCTCAGCTCACTAGCATAGCTCGCCTCCCTGGGTCCTTTTGCTTCCCTCGCCCTCAGCCTTCCCGAGTAGGCTAGGGACTCTACGAGCGCTCTGCAGCCCTTTACCCCATCCTACACTATACTCGCGCGCTAGTTCTTTCTGTATGTTTTTTAAGTAGAGGACGGGGCTTTCCACCGGTATTAGCCAGGATGGTCTGATCTCCTGACCTCGTGCATCCCGCCCGTCTCGGCTCCCCAGAGTGCTGGGATTAACAGGCGTTGAGACCACCCCGCCGCCCGGCCTATCTTTCTATTAATATAAATTTTTTCACTTGTAAGTTTATACAGTTTAGATTTTGTTTTTTTTTTTTTTTTTTTTTTGAGATGGAGTCTCGCTCTGTCGCCCAGGCGTTGAGTGCAGTGGCCGGTCTCAGCTCACTGCAAGCTCCGCCTCCCGGGTTTACGCATCTTCCCTGCACTCAGTCCCCGGTAGCTGCGGCTACACGGCGCCGGCCCACTCGCCCCCGGCCATAAGTTTTTGTATTGTTTTAGTAGAGAACGTGGGTTCTACCGTGTTAGCCGGACACACTACGTCTCGATCTCCTGACCGGGCACTCGTGACTCGCCCTGCGTCGCTCGCCCCGACCACAATGCTGCGCGGACATTACAGGCCTTCCGCCACCGCGCCCGGGCCTACAGTCTTAATTTGTCAATTCAATCCTCTTCGTTTAAGAACTGGTTCACAGGATTCCTCAAAATTTAGCAATTGCCTCTTGCAAGTCAGCACAAGCCAGCTGCAGCCACTGCGGCACGCCATGAGCTCATACTCAGTGATTCTCATCTGGTGGCTACTGGGCCCTCTGCCACCCACTGCCTGGAAAGAATTTAGTGCCCAGGGGCATCCTCTGGTTTGGGACTAAACAATCTCCTGATATCTTTGAATGTGTTTCTCTGATTGAGAAGGTTTTTAATTTGTCTGGTCTCTAAGAATAAAAAGAACGATTTGGCCGAGTGCAGTAGCTCACGCCTGTAATCCCAGCACTTTGGGAGGCTGAGGTGGGTGGATCACGAGGTCAAGAGATCGAGACCATCCTGGCCAATAAAGTGAAACCCCGTCTCTACTAAAAATACAAAAAATAAGCTGGGCGTGGTGTTGGATGCCTGTAATCCCAGCTACTCGGGAGGCTGAGGCAGGAGAATCACTTGAACCCCGGAGGCGGAGGTTGCAGTGAGCCGAGACTGCGCCACTGCACTCCAGCCTGGTGACAGAGACTCCGTCTGAAAAAAAAGGACAATTTATTGGTGTCTGCCCTATTTTCACAAGACGTGGCTGAGATGATTTACTGAATTCACCCAGAATTCTTTTATTTCCCTCTCAGGTGTTGGTCTCAGGGTCAGTTGCCCTCCGCACGCCAGACTGGCCGACCAGGGTGGGGAGTGAGGCAGTTTCTATAGAAACAGAACCACAGCTGCCTCCCATTGTCCCCACACCCCTGCACCATTTCCCTCTGCCTACCCGCTTGCTTCTCCCTGGACACAAAACAGTCAGGCAATTCTCAGGCCAGGAGATAATAATTCCTGCCAAGACGCTGCGACTCTGACCACCTCTGTTGGTTTCTTGCAATGTGTCTGCCTCCTGCCCCTTTTAGGTGGATTCCCTGACTCCCACCTCTCCTTCTCTCCCATTTGTTGTAGAAGCTGTGACACCTTCATGCTACCCAGGGTGTCTCTCATTTGTATCAGTAAGCTGTGAACACTTATGCTATGATGACCCTGGGATAAGAATATAAACCCATGTTAACCACCGTCACCATCTCACCATCATCATACAGCTATCATGACCAGTTTACCCCAACATCCTACCCCATAACCACCCCATAGCAACATCACCATCACCTCTGCCTCCACCAGCACCCACCATCACACCACGCTCCACAGCAACATCACCATCACCTCTGCCTCCACCAGCACCCACCATCACACCACGCTCCACAGCCATCCCACCATCGCCTCCACCAGCACCCACCATCACACCATGCTCCACAGCCATCCCACCATCGCCTCCACCAGCACCCACCATCACACCACGCTCCACAGGCAGCTCACTATCACCAGTACCCCCTCCCCTGCCGTGGCTATACCACCACCTCCCCGCCCACCATCCATCCCACTTCCTTTAATGAAAACAGGTGATGCTGCAGGGGCTGCATACAGTCCAGCAAGCCCTGCGGAGCGCTGGCTTGGCTCACCCTGTCCCATGGCTGCAGGCCGCTCCTCTTATCCACTAGGCTGCAGGAAGCACCTGTGTTGAACTGTTACTTCTGGGCTCCTTCTGGGCTTTCTGTCTTTCAGACAAAAAATGATGAAGGCACTTTTGTTGGCTTAAGAATCTGGAAAGAGCAAAACTTCCCCCCAGCTACTCCTGTGAGCACCCTGACATGTTCCTTCTCTCCTGCTCCCTCCCTGCTGGTATCTGCTGGACCAGTTGCTGGGAGTAGCCCTGTTCATTTTATCTCTTGTGCCAGGAGGCCCAGGCAGGGATATGCCTGGCAGCCCTGAGGGAGGGGGCAGGATGGGGAAGTCCTGCCAACTGGAGAAGCCTAGAACAAACCTTGAAGCCTCTTGCTTCAGTGGCCTCAAGAGACTCTCAGAGATGTTATCTGGACTGCACTGGCGACTCTGGAAGACAGGAGGCCACAAACAGGAGTCCCATATCCAACTCCAAATCTCAGGCCCTAAACATGACAGGGGCTGCAAGTTGCAAGATGTTCATGGGCTGTTTTGATAATAGAGAGAACACGTGTGTCTGGAATTTATCTGTGTGAAAGAGATAAGGAAGTAGAATTTGTTGGTGAAAAATAAATGTCTTAAAAGTAGAAGCTGGGGCCCCAACTCTTCCAAGCCTACCTGGTCTGGGACCCTCTACCAGAGAAGGCTGGGAACTATCTTGGAACTCAGGCCCTATGTCTTTTCAATTTTTCCTTCTTTAGTTCCTGAAGAGACAAGACAAGGATCTCATATTTGGCCTTACCTGGGCTTGTAAAACTGTGTTACCAGAAGCACTCTCAGGGCAGCTGTACTTGCTGCATATACCTGAGATGTCTATAGAATGATATAAAACACATGGCAAAAAATATTGGTTGCCTGTGGGGAGGGGATCTGGACAGTGGGGTAGAAAGGTCTGACAACATTTTGAGTTGGCGACGATTTAGGAAAATAGTTACTCTCTTCTAATACTAGTGGGAGTGCAAATTTAAATTGGTGCAGCCTTGGCTGGGCGCAGTGGCTCATGCCTGTAATCCCAGCACTTTGGGATGTGGGTGAATCACTTGAGGTCAGGAGTTCGAAACCAGCCAGGCCAACATGGTGAAACCCAGTCTCTACTAAAAATACAATAATTAGCCAGACATGGTGGTGTGCACCTGTAATCTCAGTTACTTGGAAGACTGAGACATGAGAATCGCTTGAACCTGGTGGGTGGAGGTTGCAGTTAACCAAGATCATGCCACTGCATTCCAGCTTTGACAACAGAGCAAGACTTTGTCTCAAAAAAATAGAAATAAATAAATAATAAGTTGCTGCAGCTTCTCCAAATTGGTGCAGCCTCTATGGACAGCGTTGGTCAGACTGGGTGGCTTAAACAACAGATATTTATGTTCTCACCCTTCTGTAGGATGGAAGTTCAAGATCAGGGCCTTTACGCTTGGTGTCTGGTGAAGGCTGTCTTCCTCACACGCCCTCTGTCCATGCGGAAAGAGAAAGATCTCTGGTGTCTTTTCCTTTTCCTCTTCTTATAAGGACATCATTCCTATTGGACTGAAGCCCATTCTTATGACCCCACTTCACCTTTATTACCTTCCTGTAGGTCCCATTTCCAAATACTGTCACACTGGGGGCTAGTGCTTCAACATATGAATTTTTGGGGAGGACACAATTCAGTCCAGAACAGAGGGAAATTAAGTAGTTTGTACCAAAACTTTAAATGTCTATACTTTTTGCTGCTCTGCCTATGGATTATCCATTCTTTATTCCTTTACTTTCTTAATAAACTTGCTCTCACTTAAAAAAAAAGTCTGTACTTTTGCTTCATCCATTCTACTTCTAGGTATTTATCATACAAATGATCAAACAGGTGTAAAATAAGATTTATACAAGTATATTCAAAGCATTGATATTTATAATAGCTGAAGACTAGAAACTACCTAAACATCCATGCATAAGGTATTGGGTAGATAAATTATGGGACATGCATTCAATAAAATACATAAAGGTGAAAAAGAATGAAGTAACTCTATGTAAAAGGATATGGAACAATCTCCAAGCTTGATTTGTTTGTTTGTTCATTTGTTTTGAGACAGAGTCTTGCTCTGTCACCCAGGCTGGAGTGTAGTAGTGCAATCATGGCTCACTGCAGCCTCAACCTCCTGGGCTCAAGTGATCCTCCCACTTCAGCCTCCAGAGTAGCTGGGACTATAGGCACGTGCCACCTACGTCTGGCTAATTTTTTATTTTTTGTAGAGATGGGATCCCACTATGTTTCCCAGGCTGGTCCTGAACTCTGGGGCTCAAGTGATCCCCCAGCCTTGGCCTCCCAAAGTGTTGGGATTACAGGCATGAGCCACCGTGCCCAGCCCAGGCTGTATTGTTAAGTGGAATAAGTGAGGTAGAGAACGAACAGTGTGAATAGTATGCTATCTTTGTGTAAAGGGTATGTGTGTGGGGGGAGAATATGTATGAATTTGCTTTTGTTTATATAGACTATTTCTAGAAAATTATCGCTTCTAGATAGAGAAACTCAGTGCCTAGGGACAAGGCTTTTTTCTATATACCCTTTGTATCTTTGTGCCCTGAACATACATTTATATGTTAATGTTTTTAAAGTAACAAAAACTGTCAGGGGAAAGAAAAGTCTGGCTGAAAGAACTGTTTTCACCACAGAGAACCCTTCACCTGGGAGGGCAAATGAGGGAGTTGTGGGCTGGTCTCCCTTTGGGGAATGTGTTCTCCTTCTGGTACTAGCAAAGAGAATCTTCTCTTTCCTGGCACAGTTCCCATGAGAGCTCCACAGAGATCCAGTCTCTGGCAGTATTTCAGTCGGGGCACTTTTTGAGGAGCCCATGATAAGACAGATGCTGCTGCATTTGGATTGGGCTGGGGAAAAGCGAGTGGGAGATGTAAGGAGGATGAAGGGAGGGGGCGACCAGAAAGGTCTGTCCCACGGCACCCACACCTTTCTACTCTCCAGCCTCTGGCAGAAAAACAACCCCTTAGCTGGTATGGACTCAAGAAGGATCTGTTTATTTATTTGTGAAACAAATACTTACAGAGCACTGTCATGCATCAGGAACTGTGTTTGGTACCGGTAGGTGCCGTCGGGAACCGCGCTAGGTGCCGGCAGGTGCCGCCGGGAACCGCGCTAGGTGCCGGCAGGTGCCGCCGGGAACCGCGCTAGGTGCCGCAGGGTGCCGCCGGGAACCGCGCTAGGTGCCGGCAGGTGCCGCCGGGAACCGCGCTAGGTGCCGGCAGGTGCCGTCGGGAACTGTGTTACGTGCCGGCAGGTGCTGTCGGGAACTGTTAGGAACCGGGTTAGGTACGGCAGTAAATTAGATAGACGCGTCCCTGCCACCGAGGAGCTTCTATTCCAGCAGGGGGAGACAAACAATACTAAGCGTATACGTCATTAGCTATTTCTCTGTAGTGTGCTAAATGCTGTAAAAGAGAAGTTTGAGTGCTCTCGGACCTAGGTGTGGAAGGTCAGGGTAGGCTTCTCTTAGAAGGTGATATTTAAGCTGAGAAACTGGGAGGATAAACAGGAGTTAGCTAGGTAATAGGACAAGGGTTGGCGCCAGAGGAGAGAGAAAACAGCACGTGCACAGGCTCTAAGGCAGGAAGCAACAGAAAGCAGGTCAGTGGGCCTGCATCACAGAGAGAGATGGGGAGAGGTAAGGCAAGGGCTAAATCTTGCAGAGTTGAGCTGAGAATTTTGGATTTTATCCTCAGAGCAGTGAGAAGCCATTGAATGATATTTGAAGCAAGGGAGTAACACAATCAGATTTGCATTTTTAAAATACTGGCTAATATGGGGGAAATGATTTAGAGGGGGCAAAAAGGGAAGAGAGATGACAAATAAGAGACTAGAGTAATGGCTCAGGTGAAAGATTATGGTGGTCTACTCCGGGGGGTGTTAGTAAAGATAGACATAGGCTGGTCATGGTGGCTCACACCTGTAATCCCA